TCAAAAAAAAAAAAAAAAAAAAACAATGAAGAAGAAAATCCAATAAAGGAGACAGTAAAGGTGGAAGGGAGACATGCAGAAATTCCACCTTAAGAAGACAATAACCTGTTAGGGATCTACTAATGCTTTACTATTCCCCTCCCTCAAATGTCAACTAAACCTTATAAAGTATGTGAAAAGCAAAGACGGTGCAAGTTAGGAGAAAGTGGGAAGAAATGACACAAGCGAAAATAACAGAATGTATCTTCCAAGATATAATCTATTCCTGTTGTATGGAATAGATTAGTATGGAGGGCATTAAAACACTTCTGATATTTCTAAGGGTTAGCATTCTTAAGAAAGGACTGACTAGTCTGATAGTCACAGTGCATGATGTACAACAAAGATAAGCACAGACATCTGGCTGACTGAAGACTTTTGACTGTATACATTAGTTTCCTGTGGCTGCTGTAACAAATTATCACAAACTAGATGGCTTAAAACAACAGAAACTTAGGCTCTCATGTTCTGGAGGCTTTGAAGTCTGAAATCCAGCAAGGCCAGGCTCCCTTCTCAGAATCTAGGAGAAAATCTGTTCTTTGCATCTCCAGTTTCTTGTGACTGCAAGCATTCCTTGGCTTGTGACTACACCACTCCAATCTGTTTCCATGGCCACATTGCTTCCTCTTCTGTGTGTCCTCTCTTCTGTAATTTCCCTCTGCTTTTCCCTTAAGGACAATCATCACTGGATTTTGAGGTTACCTGGATAAACCAGGATTACCTCATCCCAAGATTTTTTTTATTAATAATTCAAAAATTTTAAGTATGTGGGGTATAATTCAGGGTGAGGTATACAAATGTTCATTATGCAGGTACCCTTGTTGGTGAATACCTATTATTGTTAAGCTTTATGCTAAGTGCTGAGATATGAGGAGTGAACAAAGAAAATGGTCCCTGCCATCACAGAACTTGCATTATCTCCTATACTTCTATACATTGCACATATAGTATCTCATTTGTGATCATATGTAGGAATAACTGAATTCAGAATACTTTACCATTTTAGGGGACAAATGCCATTACTTGATTTAGAAATCACAAAACAGATCAGGCTTGGTAGCTCAGCCTGTAATCCCAGCACTTTGGGAGGCCAAGGTGAGTGGACTGCCTGAGTCCGCGGGTTCGAGACTAGCCCAGACAACTTGGCAAGACTTCGTCTCTACAATAAATAAAAAATTAGCCGGGCGTGGTAGTGTGCACCTGTAGTTCCGGCTACTTGGAAGGCTGAGGCAGAAGGATTGCCAGAGCCCAAAAGGTTGACACTGGGGTGGCCATGAGCATGCCACTGCACTTCAGCTTGGGCGACAGAGTGAGATTCTAACTCAAAAAAAAAAAAAAAATCACAAAACATAAATCAACAGATTCATAATAATGACAGTTTATTTTTGTGATACAGTGTTTATCCAGAAGCCTAATGCTATCACCTTCCCCATTACTTCTCCTGGTTTCTTGCTCCTTCCTTCTGATTAGTTTGGCTCCCTCCTTACAGCTCACCTCTACCACAGTCTTCACGTGGCAACCTGTCTGCTATTCACATGTAACTGCTATTTTTACCCTCAGGGGTCTCCAGAGTAGGACAGAAGTTAAAAATGTTAAGTGCACATAATTTTCTGGGGCTAACTCCAGTTTTCTGGACCAGCTTTTAAGAAAAAAGTTACCAATAAAAATAATTCTTTAGGTGTTAATGACAGCGACAAAGAGAGCAATAATACAAGCAAAAACTACTTTATCAAAGGATGCTATTTTTTTCTACTTTAACACAGAGTATCACTGATATATGATAGCTATTGAGCAACAAATGAAGTACCCAAGTATTAAACACTCAAAATAATTTCACTGCCTTTTTGGTTGAAGTATACCCCATCTGAAATACAGATGCATTTAGCAAAGGAATACATTATACCTCAGTCTTTAGCTGTGCAGGTGTGGTAACACACACGTTGTTTAGATGTTATGCATTTTCTGTCAACAAAGAACTGACATGACTTAAAAAGAAAAAGAAAGAGACCAAAGAAAATTCATAATTAATTCTGGTTGGAGAAAAATATTTCCTAAGGAAGAAAAATTTAGCTATTCTCCACAAGTAATCAGATTAATATTTTGCTAAATAGGAGTCAAACCAAAGCCTTTAAGCTGAAGCACTCCTGGAGTGCTTCAGCTTAAAGGCTTTCTGACAATTATTAAACTACTACTTTGCTATGATGTGCTATTTTGCCAAATAAAATGCAATATGCAATCAAATATAAATTTAGAATTCAGCTTTACTTTGGCCTTCAGCCCAAGGTGGCCTAATTTTTATCTTGTCCTAAATGATTTAAAAAAAAAAAAAAAAAGGAAAAAGAGCATATGCTTAGTCAGTATGAAACCAGCCTGCATTTGACAATCACTTGTTAATGACATCAGAAAAACAAATAACAATTCTTTAAGCTCTCCTGTATAGTCTGAGTAGAGAAGATACAACAAGTAAGTGACTCAGATATAAATGCAACAAAATGTATCTCTAGTTTACCCTGGGTCCAGCACTTGAACTAGGGGCTTTTACATTTTATCAAATATTTTGCCTTTTTTCCACCTCTTGGAAATTTCAGAAAACTACATTTCTCAATCCTCAGTGCCCTCTAGATTAAAAAAAAAAAAAAAAAGTGGGGGAGAAAAACCAAAGAATTTCTGTGACAAATCTAAGTAGTCAAGATAAAATCAGAACTTGCCATAATATGCAATTCAATTAGAAAAAAATTGCCTTCATTACCCATATTTAATTCCATCTAACAACACCATAAGAAACAGTAGCCTTCAATCCAATCCCATAAAAAAGAGGTGAACCCAAGTGTTTTACATTCACAACCACAAAAATATTGCTTTGTGACTTCACCTATGTTCAAATTTGGTAAGTGCATTTACTTTCCACTAAGATGCTGAAGTATCTGTAAAAACAGACACTAATCTTAGTTCCTCTCATATGTAGAAAACAGTATAGTTATTTTAGTCAAGTAAAAAGGCATAAAAAATATAACAAATCGTCTATATTTTTAAAAAATTCCAACATTGGCTGGATGACAGTAATAATTCTTTATATTAACACTAGTGACCAACTGAGGCACCTCCTAAATGAGAAAACAATTTTTCAAGCAGCTTCTGTTTGGATACAAAGAAATGGGTTGTGTTTCAACTCCTAAAAAAAGTTGCAGCTTTAAAAATTAATCTTACTGGAATCTTCCTGAAGCCTGAGATACTGAAAAAATATGCTAATATTAGTTGCCAAATGTAATTTTTCCCTCAGAAAGACACTTTGCAATTACATTAAAATATCTTCCATGGACATATAAAAGAAAAACTTCAGTTAAATTGTATACAGTAATTTTAAAAAAGAATATTAAGAAATAGAATATTAAATTAACAAATTTTAAAAGTTGGTTTTTTCGTGCATAATTTGTTTTAATAAGTCCCAAGACTTACTTCCAAGTACTTACCATGGAATTGCACGTAGCAAGGAAAGAACATTTGAAAATAAGATCAGTACCATTTTCTTCATAGAGAAGTATTTACATTTTAACTCAATTCAAACAACTGTGTTAAAGAAGCATAAACAGGCAAATAACATAATGGGTTGAATTATAAGCAGAAGTGGCAAAATGCGCATTAAGATGGTTAATAGCAAAACTATAAATAAAACTTGGGCATACCGTCAGACTTCATACAACCAAGAGGGCCAATGGATCTAGGTTAAAATAAGAAAACAAACAAAAAAACCCAGAAAGACAGCAATTTTTTTTTTTAAGTGGAATGAAAAGGAAAGATCACAAACATTTTAAGGCCACCGATCAAGGAAAAGGACTGTTTTATGCTTCCACTGTTTACTAACATTTAGAACTAGCATTTCTAGCCAACACCCAGATTTGAAAATTGCAGCAGCACTTAAACGCTGTCCTTTGCGACACCAACCTAACAGAACATTCTGCAACATTCTGAATAGTAAACATTAAGCAAAGTAAAGCACCGTTTGTATATTTCTACCTCCAATGGGAAAATATTAAACCTTTATCTCTGCCACACAGAGCCTTAACCACTCCCTTCCTTCTTTTATTTACTGCCCTTGTCGCGGGGGTTAATGAACCCCCAAACTTCTTTTTCTTCTTCCCATTAATGGAAATGAGGGGAAAAGAGCAACAGCAGAGGGAAACTCAGAAAACAGGAAAAAGAGAAAATTACAAGTAGTGGCATTACTCGCTGGGGGAGGGCAAGTACACCCTAACGGTTCGCATGAGGGAGACAATCCCGGAAGACCCCTATTAACACATACTTCACCCCAAAGCTACAGTGTGTGTGTACGTGTGTGTGTGTGTGTTTTCTGCTTTACAAGGGGGTTGCAGTTGTCCCGGATGCACCTTCCCGGGTACACGGCTCCCCTTCCCTAGGGCCCCAGGCAGCAGGGCTCGGGGGGCGATGTTCCCAGCTCCGAATTTGCAGCGAGGCCCGGAAATCGGTCCCGTTAGAGCAGATTTCACCCGTCAGGAATGCGCTCCGCCCCCGCCGCCTCCCCGGCAGCCGCCCTTAGGTCTCCCCAGCTCCAGGGGCAGGAGACCGACTGCTCGAGGGGAGCGCCGCCTGGGCCCGTCACGACAGCGCCGGGCCGGCCGCTGGGTGCAGAAGCCCCGGCCAGGAGAGCGGGACTTGGGGCGGATCCCACGCTCCGCCTCGGCCCGCGAGGCCCAGGAGGCGCCAGCGCCTGGGCCGGGTGGGAGACCCGGAACCAGCCCGAGGCCTGACCCCCTACGCCGGCCCCAGCTGCAGCCCGGAGCCCGGCACGGGAGGGGGCGCCATTCCCACGGGACTTCCGAACCCACTTCCGTCCCGGGGAGGGGCGCAAGGGCAGCGGCCGGGCCCGAGCTCCTCGGGCGGCAGACGGGGGCCGCCCCTGCCCTCCCGCTCTCCGGCGCAGCCTCCCCGGTGCCCGCCCGTACCTTCAACTTCTCAGAGCGGCAGCGGCGCCGGGCGGCGGGCGAGCAGGCCCATCTCGCGGCGGCGAAGAAGCCGGACGAAGCGCGGGGGAAGGTCGCTCCGGTCCGCCGCGGCGCCTCTCAGCTGGGGCGAGGGGAGCGTAGGGGAGGGGTCCCGGCGGCCGTTTCCCTGAACTCCTCCGCAGTTGTGGCTCCACGGCCGCTCCCGGGAACCAGCGCCGCAATTGCCATCCTCCCCCCCAGCCCCCACTTTCCCCGCCTCCTCCTCCCACTCCTTCCTCCCGCCCCCGGCCGCCCCGCCACGCCACGCCCCTCCCCGGCGCACCGCCCGCCTGCGTGCGTCATGGCGTCACGCCCACTGGGCCTGTGGCGGGCGGCGGCGAGACACGGTCGTTCCCTCGCGCACGTTCGCCCCTCTGCATCCCGGCGGCCCCGAGTGCTGCCTCCATGCTCGTCACCGGCACGGGACAACCGGCTGCCCCGCCTGCAGGACTTCGCCCCGCGCGGGCCGGGCTATTGTGGGGCAGGTGTCTCCCCGCCCTCCTCAACGTGAACCCGAGAGCGTCTCCTCCAAGGACAGGTGGCGGGTGGCCGGAGCTGCGCTCGAGGCGAAGGGAGATGCCGGCGAGGGGACCCCGGCTCTTGGCATTTGGCACGGCATCACTCATTCCTTGGTGCTCTCACGGTTCACCTGCTTGATTGGCAGTCCCGGGGAGAGAAGGGCCGGGATATGGGAGCTTTCGCCGGTTCTCCCTCCCGGAGGATGGCAGCACCCTGCACGTCCGCAGCTGCCCTCTCTTAGTTCTCATGGGCTTCAGTCTTCGCAGGGGCTGCTAGCAGCAGCATTTAGCCACAGCAAGACCCGGTGTGAGGGTTTGGAGAGTACTTTCCGCTCGCCTCTTTTATTTCATGTTTTACTGTTTCACAAGTCATTACTTATTCAGAATTACCGTTTCAGTCCTCATTGATCTCGAATACATGCTGAATTACTTCACCCCAGCTTTATTCGTTCCATCTCCTCATATCCATTAAGCCAGTCATACCCCCTTTGAATTTTTTAACCGACTCAAGACTTGGTATACATTCTTAGTTGCATAAACACGTTTAGTCTGGGCCTGTTCCATATCCTCCTACTTTATTTCTCTTCAAGGTTTACATCACTCTTCAGTGGAATACTGAGAAACGAATGTGATAGATGCTGGACAGAATGTCCATTTGCCATCTGTTACTTAACTAAATATACCACCCTCTCAATCCTTGTTTTAGTGTGTCTGTCTAATTTAAATTAGAAGCAAACCAAGGAACCATGGTTTTTCGTAATATATTGGTATCTTTGGTAACCCAGTAAATGTTTACCAATTGGAAAATTGAACAAGCTAGGCAGTTTAGGTCTAAGCATCCTTGACCATGAATCTTAAAGGAGGTAATTATGTCTGTTTAGTTTCATTTATGGGAAATTTTAAAGCTGTTTACATATACCTTTAAATGCTACTTGAAGGTTGCCAGCAATATTACGTATAGGATACTTTAAGTCCACAGATAGCACAAGAATACTAAGTTAAATGGATTTATGGAACAGTGCCCATCATAATATAATCCTTCTTGAAAATATATCAGCATGTTAAACAACATTTTGGCACAGATGGGGCATTGACTTGAAAGAGGGTTTTGAATAAAGAAGTTGTGCACAATGAAAATGGTCTTACACTCTGTACAATTTCCAGAGATGCCTTTTCTGGTTTTCTTGTCCTAAAAATTAGAGGAATTTCTTATTCTTCACTAGGCTAACATAAATCTAAACAAGTACCCATTGAACATCTCCATTCGAATCTCAGAGGCACTTCACACTCAGACTGTCCAGATGTACTTTATATTTTCCTCAGAGGTTGCTTCTTTCATTCACCCAGCCCAAGTCAGAAATCTGGGATTCTTCCCAGGCATCTCCTTTCTGTCACTTCCAATACATAATGAACCCACAATCCTGGTTATTATACCCTCTAAATATGACTGTACTCTATCTTGTATATTACCCTCTGCCTTTAGGCCAATGTGTTCAACTTTGGCTGCATGTTAGAATTCTCTGGGACACTTAAGAAAAATCTGCTGACCAGATAAATCAGAATTTCTGAGGGTTGTACTCAGGTATCATTATTTTTAAAAACTCAGGCCGGGCATGGTGGCTCATGCCTGTAATCTCAGCACTTTGGGAGGCTGAGGCAAGAGGATTGCTTGAGCCCAAGAGTTTGAGACCAGCCTAGACAATACAGCGAGACCTCATCTCTATGAAAAATTAGCCAGATGTGGTGACATGCACCTGTAGTCCCAGCTACCTGGGAGGCTGAGGTAGGAGGATTATCTGAGGTCAAGGTTGTAGTGAGCCATGATCTTGCCACCGCACTCCACCTGGGCAAGAAAGTGAGACTCTGACTCAAAAAATAAAAATAATAAGCAATGGGCAACCTCTTCGGGTCCCCTCCCACTGTGGGAACTTTTCTGTCCTCGCAATAAATTCTGTGTTCTCACTTTCAAATAATAATAATAAGTAATAAAAATAATAAATAAAGCTCCTCAGTTGATTTCAATGTGCAAGCAAGGTTGAAAACCACTGCCAGGGACTTATCATTTCTCATTGGATTACTACAAAAGCCTAATTGGCCCAGGTGCCTTAATTTTTGGCAGCAGTCTCCTTTATTTTCCTACTTTTCTAATTAATATAACATCAATAAATATTTGAGTTTCTATTATATTGAGCCAGGGTGTTTACTATTATAGGTACTGAAAATACAGCAATGAAAAGGCCCATATATCTGCTGTCAGAGGCTTACATGGGGGGGCATGAAGGGGGGAAAAAAGAAAACGAAAGGAAATACATTTACCCAGTCACAGAAACCAGGGAAGCTATTACATGAATAACAAACTAAAGTCAAGTCCTTTGATATTCCAGCTAGGTTCTACTAAGACAAGAAGGAGACAAATAAGTAAAGTGGTGGAGAAGACAGGGAACAGCAAGTACAAAGGTTCTAGTCAGAGAAACTTGTCAAAGTCAAGGCAGCTAGAGACTGAAGCATAGCAAGAGGGAGGGTAGGATGGCATGGAGTTAGAGAGGTAGCAGGGAGCTAGGTCTTATCCTTTTAGGTCATGAGAAGGAGAATCTAAGTCGCTAGTATGAAGTGTGATGAGACAATATATTTTCTTTCATTTGATTTCATTTCATTTATTTTATTTTACAGAGATGGGGTCTTGCTATCTTGCCCAGGCAGGTCTTGAACTCCTGACCTCAAGCAATCCTCCCAAAGAGCTGGTATCACAGGTGTGAACCACTGTGCTGGCCAAGACCATAGATTTTTAAGCAGTGATATCTGATTTATCTTTGAAAAGTATCACTCTAGCTGCTCTGTGGATCAGATTGTACTAGAGCAAGAGTGGAAGTAGGAAGATCAGTTAGGAGGCTATTGCAAGAATCCAGTAAAGAAGTCATAGTTCTTTGACTCAAAGTGGAGGCAGAAGAGGATGGTTTTTTGTTGTTGTTTGTTTCAGAGGTGTGATTGATTAAGACTTGCATGGCATGGAATAAAAGCAAGAAGTGAGAAAGAGAACAATGGGGTTTTGATTGTGTGTGTGTGTGTGTGTGTGTGTGTGTGTGTGTGTGTGTAATATAGCTACTATTATTACTACTATACTACGTGAAAGGCACTGTTCTAGCCGGGCTTGGTGGCTCAGCCTGTAATCCCGCACCTTTGGGAGGCTGAGGTGAGTGGATTGCCTGAGCCTG